TCCACCATGACACCCAGGTCTTTCTCTGCAGAGCTGCTCTCCAGAAGGTCGGTCCCCAGCCTGTACTGGTGTCTGGGGTTATTCCTCCCCAGGTGCAGGACCTTGCACTTGGCCTTGTTGAATTGCATGAGGTTTTTCACCGCCCAGTTGTCCAGTCTGTCCAGGTCCCTCTGGATGGCAGCGCAGCCCTCTGGGGTATCAGCTACTCCTCCCAGTTTGGTATCATCAGCAAACTTGCTGAGGGTGCACTCTGTGCCTTCATCCAGGTCATTGATGAATAAATTGAACAGGACCGGACCAAGGCCTGACCCCTGGGGGACACTGCTAGCTACAGGCCTCCAACTAGACTCTGCACCGCTGATCACCACTCTCTGGGCCCTGCCATCCAGCCAGTTCCTAATCCACCTCACTGTGCACTCATCTATCCCACACTTCCGCAGCTTGCCCAGGAGGATGTTGTGAGGGACGGTGTCAAAAGCCTTGGTGAAGTCGAGATATCATTTGATATCTCTACTAGGAAGTAAACAGCTAATGATAGCTTAGGTAAGCACAGAAGCCCAAATACTTTAGGCTGAGACTGTTTTCATTAACTGAGAAGGCATTTTCCAGCCCAGCAATATAGAATGACCAGGTTGGTTCTCTTTGTTAACTTTCTCATTAGATTGTGGACAGATCCATGACTTTTGGCAAAGTCTCTGGGGTAAACTTTAAGGATTTTGGTGATGTATCATGCCTGCAGATAATTTCTGAGACTTGTAGTTCCTACTGCCTATTTAAGTTTCTCAGGTGTCTATGAAAGTGATGGTAACTTCTTTTTCTCTTTTTAACATTGCAGTTGCTGATGATTCCTCTCATCATGTCTGTACTTTATGTTTGGGCCCAGCTGAACAGGGACATGATTGTATCATTTTGGTTTGGGACAAGATTTAAGGTAATGCCAAACAGGATATTGGAAAAGATACTGTGCTTAAGGTTCACGTGAAGGGGGTGCTTGGTGCTGCTGGACTTGATCGTTTCTGTATAAACTAGAAGGCAAAATACAAACATTTTCTCGTATTAAACATATCCTATGCTTACACAAAGCTACAGACTCGCTGAGAGGCAGTGAGGACAAATTTCTCCACTGTCTTCCATATGCTGTTATCCATCATGGCTTTACTGAAAAGCCATCCTGACATCTGAAATTTGTTGGCCTGAAAAAAGAGGAAAACTTTTCCTGATCATCACTAACATCAATAAAAACTTAACAACAGTGGCAGAAAACGTTGGTATATTAAATTTCTCTTTAGTTTGCAACTCAGCTTGTTTCTGACAGATCTTGTAGAGAAAACTCATTTAGTACTTCTTTCCAGTTGTCTTCAAGTTTTGAAATATTAGACTTTTCAGGCTTAAGCTTATCATGGAAGATAGTGCAGCAGACGTCTGATTGTAATGTTTGAATGAGAATGATTGGTCTGAAAATTATAGTTATTGTTCAGTTTAGAGTATCCTGCCTGTTAGAATCTATTTAACTTAATTAGATTTGTATCGTGTTGAAAATACTGGTATAATCATACTTCCAAAAAGCACATTGGATCATATGCAGGTTTATGTCCTCTGCTCTACTTGCAACTTCTTTATCTCCATTTAATTCTTTTTTAGGCCTGTTACCTGCCATGGGTTATTCTGGGATTCAACTACATCATTGGTGGATCGTATGTATTTACTAATATGGCTTTACTAATATGGCTTTCATAACTGTGTATCTTATCACTAAATTTAACAACCATATTAAGAGGAGAGGCTTAAAGCAGTAGTAATGCAAGTGGTAATGCTCATGGTGTCATACACTGACCATTTCATATAAAAGCTATAGAGAAGAATTGTGGATGAGAGAACTAGATAATGTAGGGAAGGGGAATAAAAATTATTTTCTAATAGGTTTATACATTAGACTTCTAGTGAAAAAAGATTTCGTCCTGTATGATCAATCATTATTACTAGTTTTAGGAACAAACTCAGCTTGATGTTGGTAGTATTGTTACTTCTTCCCCTCAAAATCTTAACTGGCAGGCTGTTTTTCCTCTGCTTGTGAACGGAAATACAGCAGTCAACAGCTTGCAGAGTACCTGCCAGCGCTTTCAGCATCCTTTGGTCTGTCTTGCCTCTCTCTGACCAAACTGTGTGATGCAGAAATCCCCTCATTGTGCCTCATCTTTCACACCGGTGCCCTGTGTCGGTGGGAGCCTCTTGGTGCCGCTGTAACACAATTAGTGACGATAACAAGTTATGTGGGTGATTTATAAGAAGAAATGGGAGTGCAGCAGTTCCACGTCCCTTCCCTGCCTGTGCCTCCTACTGACTCGTGTGTCACTTAAGGAAACTGCTTGCTGTTAGATGCCTGCTGCTTCAGTGCATGACAGAAAACGCTCAAGGGCCTCCCTTCAGCAGTGTTTTTACAAAGTTGGGAACAAAACTGTTGAGTACAAGCTGTCCTGTGGAAACAGCATTAACTTCTCAAATTAGGTAGGCTGTTATTTTAGACACTAATAGCTGTATGGTCTAATTCATTAATGTAAACAAACATTTAATTGCATTTTCAGTGCAGTTGCAGGCTTGGAAGGGAGGGTGAAGGAGCCTGCTGATGTGCTAGCACTGAAGCTTGGCTCTCCAAAAGATGCAAATGCAAAATGCTGAAGGAAGGGGAGATTTTTGTGACTCGTGGCCATAGGGATGCAGCCTGTGGCAGGTAAATGGCGTTAAACTGTCAGAAGATGGTCACTCTTTTCCCCAAAAGAGCGTGTGAACCAATTTTGTTTTTCTTTTGCCTTGCAGGGTCATCAATGAGCTGATAGGAAATCTGGTCGGACACCTGTATTTCTTCTTAATGTTTAAATATCCAATGGATTTAGGAGGAAGGACTTTTCTGTCCACACCTCAGTTCTTGTAAGCTGACTTTATTGTTTATGTGGGGCAATCTTCTATGTAACGCTTACTTGTTGGGACAGCAGAGTGAAAATTTTTTTCCTAAATCAGGCTGGTGCAGTTTCTCAGCTGTTGCATGCATAGAAAGTCATACTGGATTTTACTGACTCATCAAAGAAAACAGTTTTCTGTTACCAGAGTTTCTTGTTAACTGCTAAGGTAGAAATGCTACCCTTGTGAATGGCTTTTTGCCTGTTCCTAAGAGGGAGATAAGAGTCATGTTTCTGCAAGCGTATCCAACTATAATGGAGCCTCCCTGGCAATTAGCAGGCAATATCTGTTTTTGTGTGGTGTTTTTTAATCACATTTTCCCTGTATTAGCTGCTAGAATGGTGCATGAAAATACTGATACAGGCTAGCAACCTGCAGCAACAACAGAACAGAAGTCTGTTGCAGATCTGTGCAGTACTATAAGACATATTTTGCTCTATATTTGATATGAGGGACCTTGACTAAAACTGCTAATTTCTGAGGTGCTTTTTCTTACAATCTGTTCATTGTTTTGGCATTGAAACACTGAGATCAGAAACCAAAAATAATCTCTTTTATCTCTTATGTCTCCTGTTGTCATTATCCTTTCGGGTTGTAAATCTTTCTCTGCTAAGATTTAGCAACTGAATTAACCCTTTTTAATAGCCTAAAGCGTTAACTAAAACATGCAAAGTTGAATTACAGTTATATTTTCTGTACAACTTTTAATCTGAATAGAGGAGGCTGTGCACTCTAGCTTTGTCTTTGCAAATCCACCTGCATTCTCTATAAAGTTTAGAAGAGAAAATGTTATCTTTAAAATGTCTTTCAAAGTAATAACAACCACCAATCTTATGTGCAATTCTCTTGATTCCTGTTACAGATATTTAATTATTTTTTTTGTATTTGAGAATCAAGAATGAAGTACTACAGTCATCTCTACAGAGGGATAAATTCTGTGTCTGTGTTGCTGTAACATTTTATTTAATAGATTCTGTGATGAATTACTGATAACCTTTAATATAGTAATGAGCTTTTCTATACAAGATTACTTTCCTTGTATAAAGGAATTCTTATTGTTGCTTTTTGTTGTCCCCTCTTCCTTCCTTGGATCTTAGCAAAATTCAGCAAGGGATTCACAGGAGCATGATATCTGTGTACTATAAAGCTCAGGTGACTCCGAATTGATAGCATCACTAACACAATACACAAGCTGTGTTTTTACATCACTGCCTGTTCAAATGGTAGCCTACCCTGGATGGAGAGGTTTCACTGGCCTGGTTAAACTCTGCTTTCAGGCAGGTTAGGTACCTGAACCTGTGTTTCCTTTAGCCTCTTTGGTCCTTAGTTCCTCAGGAATCCTCACTTCATGGATGCTAGAGCTTTGTAAGTATTAAAGAGAAAGATGCTCAGCAGTGACTTGGATTTTCCTTTATGTTTTTTTTTTTAATTCCCTGTGAAAACAGGGAGAGAATAGTGTTTGTTATCAATGAGACTTCTTTACCTGATACTTTTTTTTTTTCCCCCCTCTGTTTGAGTTATTGTGTATAGTCTTATCACAGAGTCTGAAGTTGACCAGAATTCCTGTGTTTATTTGTTGATTCTCAACATGCTGAGGACTTAATATTTGGAAATAATTCTGTGAGGTGTCGCTATCAGAAGCCAATTTTATTGCCAAGTCTAGCAGTTAAAAGGAAGTGTGTGGAGAGGCAGCTTGGTAGCTTGCAGTGTGCAAGTTCCTTCCTCAAACTCTCTTTCTCTCTTCCCCATGGCCTGTCCTAGGTACCGCTGGCTGCCCAATAGAAGAGGAGGAGTGTCAGGGTTTGGTGTTCCCCCTGCAAGCATGAGAAGAGCTGCTGAGGATCAGCAAGGTGGTGGAAGACACAACTGGGGCCAAGGCTTCCGGCTAGGTGACCAGTGAAGACCTCCTGCCACCGACAGACAGCAATTCTTTGGTTTCAATAGCACGTAGGACCGATCCTCCCTGGTACAGAGCGTGCTTAAGAATGAGCTCTTTGTAGTATTGTTGGATTTAGCACGATTATTTTTTTCTGGTGCAAGACAAAATTAAAAATTCCAGAAGGGAAAAATGTAGATCTTGCTCCAGGTTAGCAGGTAGTATTCAATTTGATTCTGCCATTAAAAAAGCCTTCTTTGTACAGTATTGTCTTTCTGTAACAAGGGGTGTCCATTGGGGCATCTGCGTCTGTGATGTGATGGAACCAGCTCGTGGTGTCTGTCTCAGCCCGTGTGCTCACAGTTTTGTTGGCTGTGGTAAGGTAAGAACCCAGCGTGTGGCAGAGGGATCAACCTAACCCCTGTGATTAGGAAGCTGATTTTTCCTGTAGCTGTGCTTAATGTCTGAGGTCTTTGGAAACACTGTTGAAGTGATAGATCTCGGCTGCCTTTGTAAACCAAAGTGCAAGTGTGTCATTTCCATTATTAAGCTGTATTTTGAGAGCAGGTTTTTCCTGCCACACAGGATTTGTGCTATCTGCTGCAGTGTGGCATGGGTAAGGCTAAGACTAAGAGGGTTTTCGTTTGAAATTGCAATAACAAATATTTCCAGAATTGAAATTTCTGAATTCTTCATGGCATGTACAAGGCTTGCTCTGTTTAAACTGAGGTTGCCTGGCTTGTGTGGGTTTTGTTTTGTTTTGCTTTTTTTTGAGATCTGTGAGTTCTTGGTGTCAGGGTTTCTCTTTTGATTGCAAAATTGGGCAGCACAAATACTAATCTACAACTTCATAACATATTGTTGTATCTGATGCGAAGGGTATTGACCGCAGTATTGTTTAACTGAATTTACATCTTTCTCTTAAAAGCTTTAATGTGTCAAAGAATCAAAGCTAGGGGGGAAAAAAAACCCTTCCAAATTCAAAGTACCATAGGATAGATTGCTTCACTAAAGGACTCTTCCACTTTTGAGTAAAGAACTACATGAAGTATCTACTACTATCTTTTTTTTTTTTTTTCCTTGCTCGAACTTTTTTTGATGGGGAATGATTCTGCACAGAGGGTTCTTGCGGGCAGGGCATGGGGCTAGGAGCCAGGAAGCTGTGATGCCAGCTAGTACTTGGCTCACTGTGTGGACTTGGGCAAACTTCTTGCTTATCTCCATGTGTGAGGAGGGCTCATGTGTCTCATCATCTGAAAACGTAGTTGTCCCTGCTAGTGAGAGAGCCAAGTCCTGGGCTGAGGGAAATGACAGCCCTGGAGCTGGCAGTGCTGCTGCCCTAGGTTTAACTGAGATTTCGAGCTGGAGTTTAGTTGCCCTTTTCTACTTATATAGTTGGAGGAAAAAGAGCACCGCTTGCGTGAGGTTCAGATCTTGGACTGAGTTTTCCTCTAGCATTTGTCTGGCTTTTTACTGTGTGGTTACACCACCCAGGGCAGTTTTGCCCCAGCATACATGTATTGGGCGCTGATAACTAAGTGAAGTGAATCTGCGCCAAAACATCTCTTTACTACTGTTTCTCCTTCACTAAACCCTAGTTACAAAGACATAAAAAGTGTAATACTATTTGCCAGTTAATGTGAAATATTAAAATTAAGCAGTCAGCCTGGGTTTTCACCGTCTCATCTGAGAAAAGATGCATGCTCCATTTCCTTATTGCCACAGGATTTTGTTGATCTGGCTTACAGACAGGTGTAGCAAACCAGTCATGATCATATTGTGTGTTTAGACTTTACCAGAATGTGGAGGTCAGAAGTCGCCTGCAATTCTTGTCCATGCAGTGGTAAGTTTTATAGACGATCTTGTGCCGATGTAAAGTGGTAGGAGGGAAATAGGACTGCACTGTTGCCTGACAGCTGCTATTGATGCAGCTTGGAAAGTTTGAGAATAGTTGTTTTTGGTGGGCACCATCATGCAGCTGCTCTTTTAGTCATGGCAATATCACTGGCACCAAAGCATTTGTCTTTATATTGGGTGAGGACCTAACTGTTAAGTGAAGATGCAGTAGCTTGTGACTCAGTCTAAACTCTGGCACCCTCAAACAGCAGAACCTCTTTGCCCAGAAAAGGCCAACGTGGGGGCGCGAGGGGGACAAAGGGTGGCAGGAGTCATTGCCTTGGCCCTGGGCACCAAGCGGGATCTCCCTTTGCTGGGTATCCTCCTTCTATAAACCAAGAGGAAAGGGTTTGCAAGAAAAATAGGCTTCTGCTAAGTCTTGATTTGCTTTTGGGAAAATTCAATTTATTTTCTTTTATGAAAGATTCACTTTAGAATTTCCTATTACAGAATATTCATATTACAGTTTAGTTTGTGTGTTTCTGTCTTGCCGTTTGGCCTGAAGCGCCACTTGTGTGTCCTTCACCAATGCTGGCAAGGGCAGTCTCTTGTTAAATGAGTACCTCCTTCCTTACTTTGTACAGATAACTTCCCTTTTTTGTAATCAATTTTTTTTTTGTTGGCAAAGTTTTAAATTAAAGTTTTAATCACTGTTTTTGTCTCTGTTTCCCTAAGTCATATTTCAGCTTAAGACCCACATTCTGATGTTCGTGTCTCCAGGGATTGTGTGAGTCCTATGTTGTTGCACCACCTCCTGCCGTTGATCAAAAATACTGAAGAAAACGATGTGTTTTTTGAGAGGGGATGGAGGGAGAGTCTTGTCCTCTCTGAAATCTCTGTTCAGTTGCAATATTTAAAGTTATTTGCCTCTGTTTATCAGCATGAATTTTTATTCTGTGTCCTTCCTGAGCTGTTATTTTCTTAGAGCTTTCTGTTTTCTTTTTATTCCTGATTTTTTTCATCCTTTTTATTGACATCTAGGAGGAAAGACTGCTCACCCTCAATGAACCAGCTTGTACTTTATGTCATATAGTGGGACACTAATGTCAGTGAAGATACTCTAGTGCTTGAAATGACAATGCTAAGTAAATAGCTTTTTTTCTCCTTAAACTTTTATTTTGCCATGGATTTTAGTAACAGTATAATTCGAAGTTCAAGATTGAACCTCCATTTTAAATCTGTGCATTTTAAGCACAAATGTCTATTCTTCTATCTAAAAGGTGCAAATGTGGTTTTTTTTTTTAGGAATGAAAAGAGGAAAAGACTCATTTTCTCAGTTTAGGGTTGTTTGAGAGTTAGGGTTATTGGTGGATATAGTAGTGAAGTCTAATAAAGCACTAATATGGGGGAGGAAAAAAAAAGAAAGAATTTTAAAGTACCTAGGAGGTGGCAAATGGATTTGAACTGGACTTTAGAATGAAAAAAGGGGGGTGGGGTGGGGCTGTATTCATAGGCTGATGAAAGAATTTTTTTTTTCAATGTGCTTTTTTGTTTTCACAATATGGCCTCAGAAAGGAGGATCTGCTTTCAGATTGCAAGTTAAAAAACACCTGTCCTTATCTCTGTCTGCTGAAACCTTAACTCTGTGAAGGGGGAGAGGCGAAACCCTTATTTGTGCTGTATCAGGACTAAGCAGGTAAGTCTTTCACTGGAAAAGATAGACAAGTCTTTCACTAAGAGAAAGTCTTGAATTTTTCCTGTAATGTCCCCCCCCAATCTTTTTAAACAGATGCTCATTCAGTCTGAATTGTCTGTATTTGTTACTGCTAATTTCAGCAGTTGTGAAAAGGAAATGGAAATGTGTGTGCCTTGGGTGTTGGCCTCATATTTTGGGAAGGCTCATTCATATCTGAAGGATTTTATTGAAACATAACATTAATTTTGTGTTTAAAAAAAAAAATCCTAGAAAGTTTCCTAGAAAGTCGATTAGCAGCTTAGACATTAGAAGGTTTAGATTTAATGTGTGTAAATGAGAGGAAAACTGCAGTTCTGTTCTCCTCTTGTTCTTCCCCAGGGTATGGAGCTTGAGATAAAAATCCAATCAATGCTTTAAAAAAAGTACAGCAAGGATTCTGGGAGAGCAATAAGAAGGCTGAACATCCCAAAGCTGCATGCAGCTGGTGGCAGAAAGACCTTTTGGTTCTTTCTGCCCTAGTGTTGTGTAAATTCAGAACGTGGTGGTTGAACCTTGCAGGATTTGGAAGAGATCCTGGACATAGCCATGAGCAGCAGAGCAAGAATTTTGGAACAAGCCAAACTTTAGCCAAAATTCAAAATGCTCTGGATGGTGCAGTACAGTTAGACTCATTTTCTATCCGCATCTCTCTTAACAATATCTCAGAGCGTAATCTTCACTTGTAGGGGGCAAGATTCACTCCTTTCTAGTTGTGTCGAGGTCTGTTTTGGCTGTAGTTGCAAGAGCAGCACACCTGGATGCAAAAACTGCGGGGTGAGTGAAGGAAGAAGCGTCTGGCATGACTTGGCACCTGCATTTCTTTTGCTGGCCCAAAGGCAGCGGTGCTAAACGGGTGAGGTTGTCCAGCCCCGGGAGCTGTAGGTGCACAAGGCTAAAGATGTTCCCAAATAACCTCTGGAGGCTGCAGTTTGACCCCACTAGTGTGCGGCCTGTTCTGGGGAGGCCTCGCAGGCTTGAAGCTGCTCTTGCTGAGGTGAATGCACAGAGGGGAATTTAGATCCTAATATGAAAGGGAAGGTGTGTATATATGGGAATATAAATGGCAGGTCCCTGGCTGAAGAGCAGGCTTGAGCTTGCTTGCAGCCTGTGTTGGCTTCACTGAAATAACCTCGGAAAGAAATTAACGTTTGCAGGAGGGAGTTTTCCAACATGAGACTGTTTCATGTGGGAAACAGTCCCATGATTGGGATAAAATGCTTCAAGGCTTTACTTCTGAAGTGACTTTTTGGTTAGATTAGAACATATAGGGAATTTTGTGCCCTTTTTTTGAACTCGAAACTAAAATTTGGTCCAGATTAATATTCTGTGCTGCTCCCTGTGCTTGCTCTGAGGCGGAGTCCTGCAGAGAAGGGAAAGCTTCATGCAGAACTTGCAGCATAATCTCCCCTCAGCTTGCAAAGCCTGAGCAGGTTGGTACAGGGCCTCTCATGACAGCCATCGTATATAGAGAAGAGCTTCAAACCATTTCTGAATGTAGTCTTGATACTTAAAATCATAGGCCCAGTAGCAATTTTTAATCTTTTCTTGCCCCCATTGCCTGTCTGATAGACAGTAATTTACAAGTCACTCTTTTTTTGACCTGTAGGGGATAACCAGTTAATACCTTT